TGAACGACTGTTGCCAACGAGTCATAGGTGTGGAGGTCCGAATCTCGAGCGTCACCACGTCGTCAGTAAAGAAGAAACGGAGATCTCGAGCTGAAGCAGGTTACTGGTCTGCTTTGCTACTCAGTCTTCACTAGGGGCTAATTTCTTACAATTTCTCTGGTAGGGTGTTCATCATCCTCTCGAGTGATGCCAGCATTGCACGCTTACCATGCAAATGGCACAGATATATCCATAACATTTTGTAACGCCATCCACTAGAGTGATGCCTATTGCCACCTTCTAGCTTGTCATTACATCGCCACAGTGGTGTTTGACTTTGATACAAGTTCTTCTCCTCATAAATTCTGAAGTGTAGTAGCTCTCTACACTTCATCTGGGGATTAACGGATTGGCAAAGTCCCACGGGCCTGGTTGATGTGCAATTCGAGTGTTCTGTTTTCTCTCGGGCATGGCGATGCTTTTCCCTTTTTACTTAGGTGAGCTGAATTTTAGTGACCTGGCTATCTCATGCGTTCTTTGGGTTCTGTGGACAAACTGGTTTTGCTTTCTGGACGGATCCATCCAATTCAGAAAACATGTGTACGTTTGTTTCCATAGTGCATGCTAATTGTAGTGGTGTCTTTCTGCTAAGCTCGAGTCACAGATTTGTCAAGCCGCATCTTGCTTCCGGAAAGTCGAAAAGGGCATCCTCAAGCTTATCTTCATTTTTTCTTCATGATTAATTGTTATTACACCACGTTGTTCTGTCTGGAAACGATTGGATTCCAGTTGATGCAGTTGTAACTTCGTATATTCAGATCACTTAATCTCGAGATTCCATAAAAGGTGGTTTAACGAAGTCAAGTTTTTGTCAGCGAGTCGGTAGGAGGCTCTTCGTTGCCGCTGTCAGTGACAATGTCAGGGTCCCGCATTGATGTCAAACGACTAGTCAAGAACGAGATGGTGGCACCAGCATTTCTAGCGCTGGGTTCAAAAGCGATCGAAGGCTATGTCCTTGTCCAGGACAATTGTCTCGCATAGCTGTTGACTTTGAGTGACTGAAGCCACTATGCTCTGTCCTTCATCATCATGCTGGACGTGCTGTATTCTACAATCTTGGGGTTTTGAGGGTATTTGACTTACTCCTGACGATTTTGAAATTGTTGGTAAGAAGCACATCGTTCTAGGTAGATTTCACCTTTCAGCCTGGGTTGTAATGATCGATCGGAGTTCAATTGGCTGTAGCTGGTCGTAGCGTTTATGGATGAGCTTGGTAGGCAGAATTGCTATCGATTTTATTTCTTCAATGGGTGTTTGTCTGTCGTACATTTTCTGGCTTCTCTCTTAAAAGGGAAACCACAAGATTGTTCTGTTGTTACAGGAGAAGGTCCTGGTTCCATTCATCTTAGTTAGTCGTTCAGATTGGAGCCTGCATGCCGATGTACGTGTGTGATCTGGAGCTTAACCATCCACATCATACTTTGACTTCGCAGCGACAGGATTGCTGCCTGTAAGGAGGGCAACAAAGCAATTTTGTCAACAACATGCATGACTGTAACTGTAAATTCAAATTGTAACAGTAGGTTGAGGTTGTGGTTGCAAGGTGTAGAAACGAATCAACTCCCATCACTTACGAAGTAGGTCCTTGAATTAGTGCTGCGGTGATCGATGTTGTCTGATCCTTGTTATGCAGCGATATGGGAGACCATTCTTGAAATGGACAGGTCGTACAATGACTCTGGCTGCCAGTTGTGTCTACTGTTTCGTTTCTTAGATCTCGCACTAACGACCAAATTATGTTGTATTTCGGTGGTGAGGCTGAGACTTTTGTGTCCAGTAAAATGGTTCAGAGCTTCACCTTTGGAGGTTGTGTGCACCTCCTATTACAATGTGAGGTATTGTGTGTAATCGATTAGCGTGAGTGTGAGTGTGGGTCTGTAACCCGTTGCGATTCTCCTCATTATGCCGGGATCAACGAAGTTGCTGTACCAGGAAATATCCAGGAACAATCCGGGCTGGCATTCTTGGATTTTCAAATGAAATGAGACAGGGAAATGCCAGTCCCCACTAGCTGTTGCATTCTGAGCATATCGATATATGCTCGGCATGCAATGGCTTGTGGGACCTGGTGTAAACCTGTACCTTGTCTTCATCATGAAGGTCTGAATCGGGTAGTTTTGATGCCAGGAGGGTTTTCAGACAAACTGTTCAGACAGTTTCAAGTAAACTAGATGCGAATGTTCAGGGGAAGAGGAAATGATCACACAAACTCGGTCCACTCTGCATTCTTTCCCTCGCGTCGTCAGTACAATACGATTGATGCTAAGACTGATGACAAGGTTTGAAGAAAATCAGAAACCTGTCTGTCATAATCTAGAATGATCATTTACCACCTTCGTTGTCATGTAGGCTCCGAGGCTGCACCGTCGTGATGACTGTTCTGAAGGTTGTACGTTCGCAACTCGGTGCATTAACTCACAGACACTTGATTTTTGATCTTTGTAGGTACCTTGAAAGCAAAATTATCTATGGATCAAGAGGGAGGCAGGGACACTGTTTCATGATGTGGATGAGGATCCCTGCGAGGACGAAAGTCAAGCAAAACAAACTCCATTTGAGACCCTCTGAATCCTACCCACCACCATGACGTCACCTGAAGAAAAGTCGTTGCATGACAAACGCAGACGCACTTGGTTTAATGGCATTCAAATTCGCCAAGGTCTGTTGACCAAGTGGGCGAGTAGAGTGTAGCCCACTACAATAGCTGTGTTTATATTGCTAGATAAGCCCTGAGTGAGTGTTCAGGGCTTATATAGCAATATAAACGTGGGTATTGTAGATGGCTCTGATCACCAAAGATACAGAGACCACAGATGAAGGAACTGAGGAAAGGGAGAAAGGATGGGATGTGTACGATCTCGAGTCTTTTCTTGCTGCCGGTAAGAAAGGAAACCAAACACCTGGCATTCCAAGGGGCTGAGGTCCGACAAGTTCATTCAGTTGTTACAACTTGGGGCTCATAACTGTCGGTTGCGGCCACTATCCTCAGAACTAAAACTGTTACATGCTACAATTGACTGCTTGGGACTCGGGTCGATCGGACTCAGGTAAGGAGAAGTCCGAAAAGAGTCTGAGTCTCGGGTGTTTCTCAGTATCCAGTTCTGTGTTATGGACGGATGTATGACGGTCTTCGCCCATTTAATAATAATACACCAAGATCATGACTACGCTGTATTTAACATTTACTGTATTCAGTGTCATCTCTTCCTTCCTCGTAAGATTTAGTGCGGTCATCGATGGATGCTTTCAGGGGTTTTTCTCGTTTGACGATCGGATGGTTTGCAAAAGTCTGAGGTAGGAATCAGTTCGCATTTATGGACTGGAATCAATCACCGAGCAGAGCAGTTGTTATCACATACTCGGAGTGTATCCTACAATGAAAACCCATCACCTTCTCATCAGCATATAGAATCAGTTGAGAAAGACCGTTCGACAGAGACCACTAAATCCTTGTTTCGGTGAAATTCAAATGTTTGTTCATATACCAGCAACCATATCTCTCAAGATCTCTCAAACGGGGAGTTTGGTCCTGGGCGAGCTCCGATTCTGAGGAGCCTTTCTACTCGAGCACAACACATGACCTCTTGCGGGGAGACTTTGAGAGGAGTAGTATTATGACACATTTATTTACAACGAAATCATCGGACGTTTGCTGCTAGTGCCCCCATCTCCACCAAAGTTTCTTGCCACAAAGCATGATACACGTTCGGTCTGCACATCAGTGATGGATGGAGAGACCACACACAAAAACTGAAGGGTAAATCGGAGGAAATCTTCAGAACTTCAGAAGGAAAGATGACAAGTTTTGATCCATGTGGATGATCACAAACATGAACATCTCCTTCCATTAAAATGCCTACATGAAATGCCTTCTCTTGGTCCACCCTTTTGCATCTTCATCTTTTGCATCACTTGTGAGTGTGGTACTACCCTAGATGCAGCGGAGTCCATATGACTCGTTGTATTCGGAATACAAAATATAGCTACCCATGATGGCGTTAGGGATGTGGGTATCCACCCTGTGGGAGCACCGGTATGATTTGCAGTAGAGTTGGGTTAGGGCATACATATACTTGGTTCGGGAGGATCATGTAACAATTGTGGACGTTGTGGTTATATTGTGACACAATTTGGGAGGGGGTGATTACCCATCCTCTTGGATGTGCGGCGAGTGGAGTGGTAGGAGCCAAGGTTTTCAAGTACATGGGTTTCAAAGAGGTCACCACTTTGTGACTCTAGCACTGGAACCTATGGAAGTTATATGGAGCTATGGAAGCTGACTACGACAAAGAGGGAGAGAGTGTACCATACTATAGGCCATAGGGGTATCATTTCTTTATCATATTGTGTAGAATATTTTAGAAAGCATGTATCAATTGCTCTATAGAGAGCACTGGCAGGTGCAATCCATTGGAGAGCCATCCAGCTAGGTGATGCTTCTTCACATGCTCCAATAGTAGGTAGACGGCTTCATCTAGATAGTAGGGATATTTCATTGTGATACTATGGGGGCCTAGCCCCATCTTACCCGTTTGGATTCATCCATGTACTAACTCAAACATGGCCTGGTCACTGCGACCTCCTTTTAGAGGCAGTTTATTCAAAGATAAACTTAAAAAAAAAAGAAAAAAATATAAATTTTATATTTTTTTCTTCTTTTTATAAATATTTAAATATTGAAGAATTGTAAAAAATTATTTCGTTCCAAAAAGTTTAGTAACTTCAGCTCCATTAATAATGACTTTTAAAGAATTTTTTGGTTCACATTAGCTATTCATGCAAAAATAAGTATTTTAGGAAGACGTTTACTTTCTATTTTAGATTCAATACACTTCCACTGTAGTTAAAATTGTAACTGGTGTACCAGAAGCAATTCCAATAATTGGATCTCCTTTAGTTGAGTTATGACGCGGAAGCCATTATTTTGGAACTACCTAACAATGGAAAATAGTTTCTTCTTATTGTCCTTTTAACTCAGTGGTAGAGTAACGCCATGGTAGGGCGTAAGTCATCGGTTCAAATCTGACATGATAAATACCACCAAAACCTAAAACTGCAGAAGAAATTCCATACCAAGGTTAGCACGGTTGATAATATCAGCCCAAGTGTTTGTTTTTATTGAAATGTTTTTTTTTAATTTTTTAAATTTAAGAAAAAATTTCTACTTTTGATATAAATTAATATGAAATAATTTTATTTAATGTTAATCATGGATGCAGCAGCCAGTGCTTCCCCGGAATTACGTCCAATGATTGAACTAGGCGAAGGTGAATTAATAACATCTGATTTAAATGAACTTTATAGAAGAGTAGCCAGAGGAAAAGAAAGCAAAAGCGATTGGGGTCTTCCCATCCTTTTTGCTATATTAGTCGCTCTTGAGTGTCGATCGTTGGCCTTCCACTGTGGTTGGTGTGGGGCGTTTTCTTGGTTACACAGCTCGCTGGACAATTCTCAGTGAACTCTTGTCCCCCCTTGTATTCCTGTCCGGTGTCCCCTCGGAGTGAGGTCTGTTTCTCTGAACGAAATCTAATACTTGGATCGTCCTTTCCATAGAAGCAAAAAGGAAAGTAAGCAAACAAGTTTACACCTCAATGAAGGATATACTTCTAAACGAGCCGAACCGCTGGAGACGGAGAGCTGGATGGCTCTTTTCTGAGGAAAGACGAAGTAAAATATCAAAAGGGATGGGAAGACCCCATCAAATCGTACAAGGAAGGAACCAAACCGGTAACATGGGGCTAGGCCCCAATAGTATCACACTGGGAAATATGTCCTAGGATATATGAACTATCCAAGTCAAAAGGTCTAGAAACAACATGAGCATCCGAAGAAGCATCATCTAACGTGATTGCTCTCCTATGGATTGCACCAGCTAGTGCTCTCTGTAGAGCAATGGAAACACCTTGCCTAAAATAGGCTATACAGTAAGCTAAAGAGAGTGATACCCCATGTCGCCTAGTATGGTAGGCTCTCGCGCACTCCCTCACAAACATGTCGAAGTCGGTGTCCATAGCTCCATATAACTCCAAAGCTAGAGGAACAAAGAGGTGACCTCTCTGCATACCTCTATACTTGGAGACCTTGGCTGCCGCCGCTCCACTCGCCGCCCATCCTGGAGGATGGGTGATCACCCCTCCGGGCGTGTGTCTCTAGTAGGATCGGTAACCACCACATCGCCCCAAAGTGACCTGGTCCTCCCAACCAAGTACAGTGTCTGCCCTAACCCTAGTCGACCGCAAGGCATACCAACGCTTCTCTCCATGTGAGGTATCCACCCTCCCGCGCCATAGCAAACACCACATCCCTAATGGCATCATGGGTAGTTATCCTCTGCCCTCCGAATGGACAACGAAGTCATATGAACACCGCCGCATCTAAAGTGATACCACACTCACATGTGAGTAATGAAGATGTAGATGGATGGACCAAGCCAAGACGGAACCTCATCATTTGTGGAGAAAGTAGGCTGGTGCGAAGTCGGAAAGCCCCCGATGCATGGTCGAGCCAAGATCCACGAGCCCGCACCCTTGCCCGAGCAAGAGCGTGAGACGAGCTCTAGTAGTACGAGGGATGGCCGGATCCACTAAGAGTGAATGTAGAGCCTCCCGAAACTGTCGGTCCATCAAGATAGATCAGACCCCTAGTCCAATCGGTAGCCAAAGAGGAAAAAGATAACTCATGTCGCACCTCCTGTGGTAAAGGCGTCTCGTATGTCATAATAATACCTGTAAGGGAAATGATCCAGTATCAACGTCCCTCGTATATATCTCCAAAATAGGTCTATCTCCGATCACAAATCGAGAAGATAACAAAGGTGCAACAAGTGCCCAACTCGCCAAGAACGCCGCAGGTGCCGTCTCCTCCATCGATAATAAGCCTACCCTTCCACACGAGATTGGCAAAGATGTCTGTCTCCTTGCCAAATCTCCAGTCACACACTCGAATGTCCATGGTCCGATGATGTCACCAAAGACGCCATGATCCTCCTATCAAATACCGTCAAACGTGATATGAATGTAGGTGAAGGAGGAACAATGCGAAGAAGATAGGTGGGTCGACGAGCAATACTAGATGATAGTATACCAAACGCCACTGCGGATCCCCTAGTAGAGGAGGAAGGTCGTCTACATGCAAAACATCCTCGGCCAATGCAACGTCATGGTAGCGTGAAACAAAATCCTCGGACCCCTACCCAAGCACTCCTAGAATCGTAAGCCATCCGTCGATATCATACATCCCTCTCGAAGTTTGAAGATGAGGCGGAATGCCCAAAGGAGACCAAGCCCTACACTTTGACACCTTGACTCTCAAGCCTACAAGATGAAGCCTCGGTAGTCAAGTAATCAAAGGCGCCTAATGTTGTCTACATGGCCCACAATGTGTGTATCATCCGCCAAAGGTGGGGAACACACAACCGAACACGACCAAAGCGATGAGAGACACAAGAGCTTTGTAATGAGCCATGACAAATAAGGATCCCCCAAAGGATCTCCTGTCGAAGTGCGGCGCACTATAGAACAAATGACCCCCTCCTCGGAAAAGCCATCTTGATAAAATAAAGAAGAATGAGAACCGTAGAAAGATCGTACAAAAGGAATGAGGTTTGATAGGGTCCACACCTCTCTAAGCTCTCTAAAAATGGATGCACGCGAGGCATTTGTTAAAAGCGTTCTCAACGTCTACCCGCAAGACAACCCAATCCGGATGGATATCTAGAAGTGCTCTAATGCCCAACGATCTCGCCTCACAACCTCCGGTGTGGCGACTCCAAACCGATGTGGACAAAGATGCTCATGGAAGTGTGAGCGATGCTGCAAGACAACGGTACGGCTGACTAATCGCAATAAGACCTCTCTAATAGCAATCGGTCAAATGCCCCATGTCTCCTTCTCCATCGCAAGAAGCCGACTAGCACCGAGAGAGCGACTACCGACAACGGAATCTCCTCTCGCAAGCTAATGCGACCCACTGGAACAACTCCGTGAAACCACTAGAAGGATCGAATGCACTGAAAAGAAAGCAATCTCGAAGATGCTCATATACCATCCCCCCGACAAACCCCGGAGGATAAGCATTGGGGCGTGCATAGAGAATGAGGAAATAATGATATGTCAAGGCATAATGGCTCCTCTGGCTGATACTCCAAGACCTCTAATGGTATCTCCTCGCCCATGGGTGGATGTAGAAGGCGTAAAGAGGAAATCGTCTCCTCAGTAGGACTAGCCATGGACAAAGGATGAAGGGCCCGAGTAGCCCTGCTATACTCCCCGGCCTGCCCCAAGATCCTACACCGTCGCAATCGCGCCGAATCAGAAGTATCATGTGATTGCACTCGACTCCTAACCTGTGTGGCCCGAACAGACTCCTCCTGCAATGTAGCCCAATCCCATGCTCGGAATCTCCGAAATCTAGTTGCCACCTCTCTATGTCCAGCACGTCCCCCTCTAGTATAACGTAGACACCATCGCGGAAGTAATAAAAACAAAAACCATGCTAACTCGTCCATGGGATTGCGCGCCAACCGATCGAGCGGTAAGCGAAAAGCACGTCTAGCCTCGTCATGCAAAGCCCGAGGAAGCCTATAGAATAAACGTGGACATGGAAATCTAGTCTCAAAAAGCCCTAGAATCGAACACTTTGCATGGGAAGCTAACCCTCCCGACCCCAACGGTATACCTGGAATGCTCAACGAAGGAGTCGATGTAATGTGCGTGTTCCCCGAAGTGACAAAAACCGATGTCGATGTGACCGTCCTCTTCACATGCGCATCCCAAGTGGTCTAATCATAATCTTTGTGCATCTTTCCCACGTGGGTCTTTACCCCTTGCGAGGTAAAGAGACGATGACACACCGGACATGGTGTATCATGCATCGCTTTTGGCGGTCCCATGAGAGAAAGTCAAGCTAAAGCTAGCACAAAGTGAACGATAAAGAAACCCAGCACTCCATCATGTATCTCCTCCCACCTGCAGAACCACAACCCCCCTAACACAACCACCTCACATTGGATAACTAACTATGGAAACCCTAAAATCTAAAAATATTCATAACTTTTTATTCAGGTCTCCATGATTTTCCAACTAGGTTCCAATAGAACCAATGCAGGAAAAAAAGAGATGAGAACAAAAAAAACCCGACCCATATGTCTAGTATAAGAAAAATCATTCAAAATGCACTCAAAACCCTAAAAAAATAAAAATACTCATATCTCACAATATCATTCTTCATAGTCTTCAATTTAGATACCAATGGACCAAGAGAATGAACTATTCACTCTCCATGTTTGCCAAAGTATGGCCCCAGAAACTACAAATCAATTCCCGCACCCGCAACCTCTCGCCCTCTAACACTCTAGCTCTCCCGATGATGGCTCTAGGGTGTTCGGAAACCCTCGAATCGAGAGGTTAACTTTCGGTGTAGCGGTCTCGTCTGCTTATCCGTGGGAGATGTGTGACTGGTCTGACTTGGGTTGGACTGAAGGTTCAGATTTCTGGTGTCCTATATCATCGTCGAGCCTCAGCGTAGCTACCGAAACAAGCTCGGATGCATGACAAGATCCAGAGCTTGTTCGTTCATGAGCACAATTGCTGTTTGATGGCGGGTGGGTGCAGATCTATTTCGGAGACGGAAACATTGTCGATCATCTAGAGGCGGAGGTGCGCAAGAGTTGCCTGGCTCGAAGGATGGTATTGCAAGTTTGAGTTGTATTGTAGGTCTTCGGTCTGCGGCACGTCCACATGGCATGGCACATCATTGGGTTCTTGAAAACAGTCACCGTAGATTTGAGACAAATCTGAAGAAAGAGTGTGAGAATTATTTTATATTTCAAAACCCGTTCAAGGGCTTGAAGGGCTTGATAGAGATTTTGATAATTATAGAGTAAGGCAGAGAGAAACCTAAGAGCAGGCCAAGTACAAAGCAGGGTATCAACTGAGTAATGTGAGTGAAAGGTCAAGTATATGATTCGGGTGGTTACTGTAAAGTACACATTTATTAATTATTATTAAATACAATTTGAATGTACAATGTAGAATT